CTGGCAGCAAGCAAGCTACGACCTCAAGGTATGATATTAGTTGGAACAAAGGATTTCAATTCTAAAATTCCAAAGGTGGAAATCCACTAAAATCCTGGGTCCATTGTAAAAATGGGTCCAAATTTTGTAGACGAAAATCTGTGCTTGGTGTGACACGGTTTTAGGCATAAATCTTTAATGTTGTAATGTTATGTTTGCCATACGTCTCTCTGTCTTTCCCTCTTTTACTTTCACTGTCGTTTATTACGTTGATTTGTTCTGTTCACACGACATCTATTGCACGTCTGTCCGTACATCCTGGAAGAGGGATCCCTCCTCAGTCGCTCTTCCTGACATTTCTACCATTTTTTTCCTTGTTAAAGGGGTTTTTGGGAGTTTTTCCTTATCCGCTGTGAGGGTCCAAAGGACAGAGGGATGTAAAAAGCCCTTTGACACAAATTGTGTTTTGTGATGTTGGGCTTTATGAATAAAATTGAATTGAATTGAACAAAGAAACACTTCAAGTTTTCAGCCGCTTCTACAAACTCAGACTGATTTCACCATCACCCATCATCAGCTAACCATCTATTCATCCATTTTCCAAGTGTTGGGGAGCTGGAGCCAAGCATGCACTGGGCAAGAGGCAGGGTACACAGTCACAGGGTTAACACATGTAGACAAACACATTCACCCTCACACTCACACCTATGGCCTATTTAGAGCTTCCAGTTGACCTCAGTTTTAAATCTTTTGGACTGCAGGAGGAAACAGGAGCACATAGAGACGGGGAAAGCATGCAGACTGCACACAAATGAGCGATAATACCATGAGCCACACGAGTGATTTTCATACTTCTTCTCAAGGGACAAATGTTATCAGACGGAATCAGGATTCAAATTGAGGTTCCAGGCCACTATTAAGCCTTAATGAATATGTACACAGTGGCAGTGTCATGTCACATGCATCATTTTCATGTGACAAGAAGACAATTTTCTCCAGAACGATTTTGGGATTCATTGTAATCCTGGCGTTGCCGAGCCGTGAGCCTTAATGTGGCTGTGGAAGAGCGCTGCGCGATAATGCAGTCTGGGAGACTAAACAATAATCAGGGAGCTTTGTGGGGAAATGTGCCTTGGGTGAAGAAGCTAATACTCACTGAGGACCAATGAAGATTTTGAGTTGCTGAGAAAGCTAATTACTCTCATAATTATTCTGTGCGCGCGCGCGTGTGTGTGTGTGTAAGTGTGTTTATAGGTGTGTGGTTGTGTCTGTGTGTGGGAGATTAATCATTATAGTGAGTCTTACCTGTCTCGCAGCTCCTTGACAGACAGATTCTTATCAGACGTACACACAAGAACAACACGTGTACAGATGCTACACACAAACTCCGGGACATCTGAGTCAATAGTAAACACTCACGACTGGAAAACAACCAAATACAACAGTCATTTAAAATAATTTGACTGTTAAAAAAATCAGCACATCTGTTCGTGTACACATCAGACTGCAGTCTCGCCTTACGAATAACATATCTGAATTTTTAAATTGAGCTGCTACAGTGTGATCGGCAGCCCAACTGACAGGGTTAGAGGCTCCATTTCCTCTCGCTTTCAAAGGGTCGAGCGCGGCACAAACTCTGCTGAGACTGTTTGACTGCAGCATGAATCAGCAGGACGCCCTCAGCGTTCACACCAGGCCGTTCCTCCACAAAAGGATCCACACAAAGAAGGAGCACATCCAGCACAGGCAACGTCTGCGCATCATCTGTCCGAACAACTGTAATGATCTGACTGATTGTAAAATATGATGGTACTGCAGCAGTCCAGGAAAACTGCTGATAGACAAAGAAGATCATCTGTTGTCCCGTCGTGTGGTGGAATCACAATTTCACATGAATGCATTAAGGGAGAGGTGAAAGTGGAAGAGGGGGATTAAGGGAGGAGTGTGAAAACTCAAAGCTAAGATGTGGTGGCTTATAATGAATTTTTAGAAAGGTATGTGAGGACAGATACATCAACCCATGGACTGGAGAGCAGTAGAATAAGGTAGTTACCACGGGCTCCGGTGCAAGCTAGTTACTAGCTATACAGCACACATACACCACTGGCAACTGTTTATAAAAATCCAAATTAATCTGATTGAGGGAGCTTTGCTATTTTTTTCCTCCTGTTTGTTTCTCTCTGGCACCATTTTTAAATCAATGTGAGTTCCTCGAACACAAGTGTAGTTCTGAGGTGGCAATCTGAATCATGTGCAAGCCCCCCACCCCACGGGCCCCAGTGCGACCACACTGCCCCTGGTATTGAAGAAATATGTCATATTAACGATTCCTTGTATAAAAGGTGTCATATGTTGACAGTGTTATTTTCAAATCGGCATCAATATGATGTATAAAAATGGCTGTATTTGCGCGCAAACTTTAGATTTTGGATTTTTTTCGCCTCAGCTCGCTAGCAGCCTTCGTCGGTTGGCTGAACTGTTTTAGTGGAAGGAGACAGTGGGAATCAGAGATAAACTATTTTTTTGAAGATTTAAATTTCCCACTAAAATAAGTGGGCGGTGTGGGTGGTGCACAGTGGTTAGCATTGTCACCTCACAGCTAGAGGGTTCCCGGTTCATATCCAGGGTAGGGTGTTCGAACCCCAGGGTGGGGGAGCCCTTCTGTGCGGAGTTTGCATGTTCTCCCCATGTCAGTGTGGGTTTCCTCCAGGTACTCCAGCTTCCTCCCACAGTCCACAGACATACAGGTTAATTGGTGACTCTAAATTGTCTGTAGGTGTGAATGTGAGTGTGAATGGGTGTCTGTCTCTGTAGCCCTTTTTAAACAGGAATTGTGCAAATTTGCAGGAAAGCCCAATCAGTCTTCTTTCAGCATTGGCAGTATAAAAACAAAATCGGGGAGTGCAGCAAAATGCCGCCTGCCTACTTTTGCTCATACAGAATGTGCCTTTTTCGGGGCAATGGGGGGCGTGAGCAAGTAACAAAACATGTAGCTCACCGTGTGACGTAACCAGTGACGTGGGAGGGAAGCCGCAGCTGGTCAGTCCTTCTGTGATTCTCTCATAAGTCGGCCCGTTCTTCACCATCCCCGTGATCTGACGGTTAATGGCCTCTTCGTTTGCGAGGGCAAGGAGGGCGTGCAATTCCTTGTCTCCCCAGTTACTCATCTTTACTGTGTCTGTCAGGTTTGTGTTTCCCTCTTGCTACTAGCTGCTCGCTAATTCCTGCTATCAGCTGTTTGCTGTTTATCCACCGCCAGTGGGTCGCACGTGTGGCGTCATCAACAGCTCCTCCTACAAGTAATCAACAGCCCCTCCCGTGGCGGAAGGCCACCTTGTTCTTTTTAAACCAAAAAGGTTCCGCCAATATGTCTACCCCTATGAGGCGGAAAATTGGGCACCTTGGATCAACTTGCCAATCTGGCTCTGTGTGTCTGAAGGCTCGCAGCTTGGCTGAAAATCTGGCAGTGTAAAAAGAGCTTATGTGTCAGCCCTGTGATAGTCTGGTGACCTGTCCGGGGTGTACCCTGCCTCTCGCCCAATGCCAGCTGGTATAGGCTCCAGCCCCCCCGCGACCCCCACAACTCCACCAGTTTCCCCTCCTTTTTCACAGAACAAGAGAACTTCGACTTGATCACGTTCTTGTGCCTCCCCGGAGTCTCCTTAATGCTTATTGCCTACACAGTTTGAGTCTTCTCTCTATGTGCTTGAACAAAGACTGAAAACTTACAATAATGTTAAACATGTTTGATTTTGTCGGAACGTCAAGACAAGAGAAAGACTTAAGACAGCTTGGACTGAGTTTTCTGACCTTACACCAAACAATCAACATCATGGGAGCGCCACAACTCTTGGAAACTCTCACGATTTTGTTGTAACATTGGAAATTTGTCTGCAACAGTGAAATCTCTTGAATAGTCTGTTGGTGTGAGGTCGCACCTAGCATGCTGAAAGCTAAGAAATGCTAAGATTATGGAAACCCCTGTATAACCACAAATTTTCGTTCTTGAATTTTGATCTTGAGAATGAAACAAACTCAATATAACGTGTTGATTGGTGATTTTTAGAGGTGCTTGTGTGCACAGACTAGCTCTTTCCTGTCTTAATGCTAAGCTATGTTAACCAGCTGCTGGCTGTAGCGTCATATATCACAGTGTGGTTTCGATCTTCTCGTCAAACTCTCAGCAAGAAAGTGTATTTCCCAAAATGTCAAACTGTTCCATGGGAAGCAGAGTTACAGCATTGTATTTACCATACTCATCATCATGAGATATAAAGATATGAATACACTACAACCCCATACATATTCATGTACGTAATTAATGGTGTTTTTAATAGATGCACGCACAAACTAATTAGTGTAATGAGTGCTGGAAATCAAATTGCTTTGGCTTCCACACGATGTTTGGACTCTCCCTGCTTGTTGCAGGCTCAAGGTATACTTATAGCTACTTTCATCTCTGCAGTGACAGCCAAATTCCACATTGTACTTGATGTTATGAAACCTCACTCAATAAATAAGAAAGTATGGTGCTGATCAAGGCGAGGAAGTACCCTTTTATGAGCTCTACAACATCAAAGTAAAAAAATATCATGGCTTCCTCTCTTCAAAAGTCCAGGCTCTCTGCCTCCGTCTGAGGAAAGCAGCAACCACCTGCTGGCAGCTCCTCAGCCGGGAATCTGCCGAGCCATCTTAGATAATTTAGGAGTTAAGAGTATTCTCAAGGCATAAATATATCGCCGCATAAGTCTTAGTCTTCCACCCTAAAAATAGCATTTGATTAGCATCGTAGAATTCTCATAGTCGAGGCCAAATTTTCGCTGCAAGCAGTTTCATGCCCACAATCCTGATTAGGTGGAAGAGCAGCGGCGATAGAGGCGGTGGTTCTGCCTCAAAATGTACTGTTGAGACCTCCGTAGGTGTAGGTGGCCTAATGTAGTGAATCATCTGTGGTGGGAGGTTCCCAGCTGATAACCACAAAGGCATATGCTCTCTCTAATTGGTGTTGTGTTTCTGTGCAGTTGATTTTATAGGAGGGTTCGACTCATACGGTTACCAGGGGCCTCAGAAGACCTCCCACCTTCAGCTACAGCCCATGTACATGTAAGTAAACTTAAACTCTCTCTGTTTATCTACATATCTGTCTACAGATGTCTTGTTTAAATGCTTGATGATGTTTTTGTCATGTACACTCTACATCAGTCTCAGGGCTTATTTATACTAAACTTTTGACACAGAGACGGAGATGGACCGAGCCTTCTGTACGTACTCTGCGTTCATGTCATCTGTATTTGTGCACGTTATCTGGATACAGACAAAACGGAGCAGTACCACCAGAGATCATGGGGGCAGCGTAGTGTAGTTCAAGTGAGATATGAATGTAGGAGATGAAGAATAAATTCTCCATCCATGCGTTGCAATGTTTCATAGCTGCACAGGCTGTCATCTGTAACACTTCCTCTGTTTAAAGGTACAATACTACAACCTCCTCCACAGTCACCTTGTTTGTTGTTGTGTGAAAATATGCCATCGTAAAGGAGGCGTGGAAATGTAAGGGTAGTGATGTTTACAATGTTTGAAAGGGACATGTCTAATTTTGTACGTAAAGAGAGTATGGGTATCCTTTCACACCTGCCCTGTTTGGTTTGGTCCAATCAAACTCAAGTTTGTTTGCCCCCAAAGTGCAGTTCATTTGGGCAGGTGTGAACACAGCAATCACACTCAGGTGCGCACCAAAACAACTGAATTCTGGTGTGGTTCGTTTGTAAAAAATCCTCCATCAATTACAACCCTATAACTAAGGCCCCACAAATTCAATGACACAGGAATATGTTAGCATGTTATGCAATAAGTTTAGGCTGAACAATGAATATATAAACAGCTTAACAGAGCTAAAACATGGAAATTACTATGAAAGCGATGTCGCTTACCTCTCCCATGGAGTACAACAGCAAAGGGAAGAGACATTCAGCATACATTATATTAGCATTTCTCCTCCATTGTTGGTGTTGTTTGGTGCTTGTACATGTAAAATGTGACAGTTGGTAGCCTGTTGTGGTAGCCAGTCTGTCCCACCCCTCTCCCACTGTGATTGGACAGCTGGGTAAAAAGTGACAGTGACAAATGCAGCGTTTTACCCAAAGCTCAGTGTTTTCCAACTTTTAGCAACCGAAAAAAAAAAAAAAGAAAGAAAAAAAAGCCAAACCTGCAGTGGTCAGCGCAAAATAGACGCTCAGTGCATTATTATGCTGTTGGTGTTTGTATCATAAGCCCTTTTTAGATAGGAAACCCAATCAGTCCTCTTTCAGCATTGGCAGTATAAAAACAAAATCGGGGAGTGCAGCAAAATGCCGCCTACCTACTTTTGCTCATACAGAATGCGCCTTTTTCGGGGCAATGGGGGGCGTGAGCAAGTAACAAAACATGTAGCTCTGTGTGTGACGTGACCAGTGACGTGGGAGGGAAGCCGCGGCTGGTCAATCCTTCTGCGATTCTGTCATAAGTTGGCCCGTCCTTCACCGTTCCTGTCATCTGACAGTTAATGGCCTCTTCGTTTGCGAGGGCAAGGAGGGAACGCAATTCCTTGTCTCCCCAGTTGCTCATCTTTACAGTGTCTGTCAGGTTTGCGTTTCCCTCTTACTACTAGCTGCTCATTCCTGCTATCAGCTGTTTGCTGTTTATCCACCACCAGTGGGTCGCAAGTGCGGCGTCATCAACAGCTCCTCCCACAAGTCATCAACAGCCCCTCCCACAAGTCTTCAACAGCCCCTCCCGTGGCGGAAGGCTGCCTCGTTCTTTTTAAACCAAAAAGATTCCACCAATATGTCTACCCTACGAGGCGGAAAATTGGGCACCTTGGATCAACTCGCCAATCCGGCTCTGTGTGTCTAAACGCTCGCAACTTGCCGGCAAAACGGCCCAACATTCGCCGAAAATCTGACAGTGTCAGAAGGGGCTATAGTGTAAATACATGGTGATTCCATTGTAAAGAATTAACAAAATACCCTAGGCTCAGGAAAAATTGCCTTTTTCTTCGATTAGTCGAGGCCAAGCTGTCGCTGCAGCAGCACTCTTTCTCATGTGTTGCTGCTGTTCTTTTGTGCTGTTAGGTGTCCTTCTTCTTCCTTTTGCATTTAACGGCAGACTAGATCACTTATATGTGTATATGCCGCCTCATCAGGTTTGGAAGAATTGCTTCCCCCTGTACCTATGGTACTGTAAAAAAAAAGAGTACCATCATGTCTTCAGAATTTCAGCATTTACTTGTTACTGAAGTATCTGTTCTCATGATATCTCAAGTCGGTATAACTTAACCCCATTGGTAGAAAGTCATTGTAAACAGGAACCAGAGCAGAACTCAAATACAGCAATACATTGTCTTTCCTCTTGGTCTGGACCAACTGAAGTGAAAACTAAACTACAAGTGTGAAAGCACCCTGAAATAATAAAATAACATATATTGTGCAAAATAGAGATTCCTCAAATCCACTCCAGATCCTCAGACCCTCTTAAACTCACCCCACTCTGAACTGCATGGTGTGTTTGGGGACTAATTTTTGTCTGTGTGTGATATCTTGTGTTCTGCAGGGAGGATAACATGAGCACATTCTAGCTGTATCAGCATAAGGGCTTATCATTTATCAGCCCAAGGTCTCATCAGTTATCACTGTTGTAGGGCTTTTATCACTCCCCTCACACGTGGCAAATAAAGGTGGGGTGTGTGATGAAAGCCGCTGTATCCTTGATGTCACTCTCGTTGAAGCTGTGTTTCATTATTACCTATTTTGTCCAAATCAACTGAAAAAGGAGCATCCTGTTTTTGTGATGTGGAAGCTTTTATTCTGTACCTCCCTGCAGGGCAGATTGTAGATTATATAGCGATTTCCAGAGACTCAAACCTCAGATTACAATTTTGCGGAGATCCTCAGCTATTCTGAAGCCTGGAGAGCCAATAGGATAACACAAAATGAGTCTGAGTGCAGGCTCAGACAGCCCTGCATCAATCTTGCTGTCTCAGTTTGTTCCGTGGAAAGCGCCAAGCGATACAGCAAAAGCTTACACCACTGTAACAAACAACAATACCGAATAATGGTGATTTGGCTGATGTGCGCCAGACAGGTGATCAATAAGTGTTTTTATTAGAGAAAAGAGCCGCAGCGAATTAGAGAGAGAGATGCAGACGGATGGAGAGAGAAACTGAGATCAAGATGGGAGAGAGACGAAGAGAGAGAGAAGAGAAACAGAGTGATGGATGAAACGTTGGACTAAACAAAGAAGAAAGGCAATAAAGGGCCATTCTGTAGTTTTATATGTCCCCTGTGGAAGTCATAACACAGATCATAAATCATCGACCCCCAAGATAATGGCTGCACACACACACACACACACACACACACACACAAAAAAGCACCCGAGCATGAATACACATATCTGCGCACACACAGATGCAGGCACCAACTCATGAACACTGCGCACACAGAAACATTCAGACACACACAGTAAATGTGCTGATAGACATGTTGTGCTTGTATATTAATGCACTCACACACACACTTATAGGCACACGCATTAATGCACAAACACACACATGCACAAACATCATCAATATGCTATCATTGTTCCCCAGCTGTTGTCCCTTCACTTTGGTGTTTATTGGCTCAGGCCAGAGGGACCAATAAAAAAGCATCAGCTGTACCGTCCTAGTGGAAATCTCTCACACCCCGCCACCCTCACACACACACACACACACACACACACACACACACACATCTTCACAATAATTAACGCCTCCAGAATGCTGTGGAAATATGCATTTCTTTGCAAAGAATAAAGATGAACTTATTTTTGACCTCGAAACACACGTGTTCCTCCGTGTGCTTTCATGTGACTGTAAGAGAGTTCAGTATAATCCCAAAAAACCCATCATAACAATAATAATACACAGCTGAAATATCAAGTTCTGACTGTAAATGTCATTTTTCTCACAATTAATCTTTTGTTTTGGCCTGTCATGTTGCAAACTCACAATTAAGTTCTTTGTTTCACTTTTATCTGTTTTGTTTTGTTCAGAACTCAAATTATATTAGTAACTTATTAAATGTTGACCATTAACTGGAATCCAGGAGACTGAAATATCAGTGCTATAGCAGGAAGGTTCAGTGTGTAGGATTTGGGGGCATGTGTTGGCAGAAATGGTATAAAATATTCATAACTGTATATATTCTTTTTATATAATCACCCAAAACTAAGAATCGTTGTTTTTTTATTACCTTAGAACATATGTGTCAAACTCAAGGCCCGCGGGCCAAATGTGGCCCGCCACGTCATTTTATGTGGCCCGCGAGAGCTTAAAAGGTCTGATTGTCTAAAAATAAATAGGTCAAAAGCGTGATTTGACCAAAAATTACATTTCCCACAATGCATGTCGATTATGTTACCCGCGAAGTGACGGCTTCCCGCCACTAGACGGCAGTGTTTCCACATCATTAACATGATGTATATTTTTAACACATTTAAAATTAAAGAGTAGTTACATTTATTTTACATTACATTTGGTTACATTTAGTTACATTTATAAGTTACATCTGGCCCTTTGAGGGCAGCCATTATGCTGATGTGGCCCTTGGTGAAAATGAGTTTGACACCCCTGCCTTAGAACGATCCGTTTATATCTACATATGGAATAGGGTCTTTTCCACGGTGTCCGCCATGTTGTTTCTACAGTAGCTCAGAGTGGACAAACCACTGGCTCTAGATGGATCAGTGCTAATTAGCCACAACTACATCAACTGATTCTGAGCTTGAACCAGGCCCTGCAAAGCATAGTTCTTCAGTAGTTGGCAGTATAGGCAATGATTTTCCCACTGCTGTAATCTGCCAGTAAACAGACTAAAAGAAGTAGAGATTGCGACCTGGAAACAAAACAAAGTTGGACACGCAACCCATCTATGAGAGGACAACAGAGGGAGGACCTCGGGAATTTATTTCCATAGGTTTTAATTTGTTCTTTCATAACAGCCAGTATTGCTTTTAAATTTTAAAATGTATCTGTTGCTGAAACTCGGTGTTGCTAGTGTTCTTGGCCAGGTCTCCCTCGTAAAAGAGATCTCTGATCTCAATCAGACAAGCTGCTATCCGTCTGTTTGTTTGGGTTTAGTGCCAGTGCATCATTTTGTGCTGCATTTCGATTGGTTGGTTAGTAGACATAGGTTGTAACAGCAGTCACACAGTGAGATGGTCATCCCAAATTTTATCCCAGGCTGTCTTTTATCGCAAAACCATGACAACGGCTATCCTTGAACCTCTCTCATTGTGTGAAGTAGGACCACCGCCACGGAGCCACAACCAAAGATATCGCCATGTTTCTTTTACGTTACCCATCTTTCGTCTGGGACAGCCCAAAATCGCACAGTATATACTGGGCTTAAGATAAAAGGTGCAGTAAGTAAAGGCATGTTAGAACTGTGCTAATAGTTCCCTCGAAGAGAGAATATGCAACTTACTCAAGTGACAGCAACAGCATTGTCACATAAGCATAATGCCCACCTTCTGGTTTCCTGGGGCAGCTTTGGCTAAGAGGTAGAGCGGGTTGTCAGACAATCGGAAGATTGACTGGTTTATCTCCAGCTCGTCCAGTCTGCATATCAAAGTATCATTCGGCAAGATACAGGACCGACCCAAACCCAAATTGCTCCCGATGGCTGTTCCATCGGCGTGTGAGTGTGTGTGAGTGATTACTGAGTAGGAGGTGGCTCCATGTATGGTAGCCTCGACCACCGGTGTGAGAATGTGTGAATGTAATGTGGCTCTTTGAGTGGTCAGAAGACTAGAAATGTGCTTTACAAGTGCAGTCCATTTTACCATTTACCCTCCCAGGTTAACACCATCAACTCTGTCAGGACTGTTGGCGCTGTTAGCGCTGTTAGCTGCCAGCCACCTCCATGTTGAAAGCCATGTGCAGACAACCTGAATCAGACTCTCAATCATAGATACACTCTGAGTGTCACATACAGCTGCTTCAAAGCACTGTGTCAATAATCATATATTTATATTTTTAAGAGCATTCTTTCTTTCTTTTCTTGTCTTTGCTCTTAATAGTTTGGGGTGAAGTATCAAAGTCAGTGTACCCATGTGGGTGCTTTCAAGCTGTCTCCTGAGTGTTCTCTTTTATAAAACACACAGACAAGTGCCTCTGATGTCCTCATTGAACATCATGTTGTTCAGCTTATTTGCCGGAGTGAATTACTTTAACAAGGACGACGCTGAGCAAATGCACTGCTGAGCATTTAATCATAAACCTCTTAATCTTTACTGTCCTCAATTATACCTCAAACAGCTGCAGCTGAGGAGGTTCACATAAACATTTACCTTTAAATCTATACCGAAGCAGTAAAAAGGGGATTCAGTCAGTGTTTTGTATAACCCTCTCCTCTCCTCTTCACTCAGGTCGAAGTAAACCCAGGAGCTACTCCCGGAGCGCTGCCTTACCAATCACCACTGCTTAACATCCTGCTCCTACTACTCAGACTGTCTCTTGATAAACAACAACAAAGACAAGTAGACAGGATACAGAAGATATTCTGCGTCTCAGCCTACAAATCCCCTCTCTAGTACTTGGTCAGATTGCCTCTCTGGTCTGCTGTTTATAACCGAGTCAGGTCTGTTCCTGATGAAACACTGGCCTCGTGTGGCTGAACATGGCAACTGCAGGACATGTGAGCAACACCAGTCCATGCAGCTTCTATAACAGCTGCTGTTTTTTTTGTCTCTGATGGACACAATCAGGAGTGGAAGACATGCTTCCTCTTGTGAGGTTGGGTATCTGCATTGTGAAGGAAAACACAGGGATGTAGAGAAACCCACTGGAGTTCAGCCCTGTTTCTTCAAGCTACTGCAGACACGTGCAGGTATGCCTGACCAAAGAGTTAAAATAAAACAGAGACACATCGTCATGTATAAATAGAGCCTGTTTAACCATCTCTGGAACTTTCTGCTCTCTGTGCCTGACACATCAGACACTGGACTTCCAACCAGACCGACTGAGCATCATTTAACAACACTACCGATACAGGAATGTCAGACATCTTCTTTTTTTCTAAGGTTACTTTTTGGTGCGTTTGGACTCTTGTTGCAGCAAAGACGGGAGCTCGAACACAATTTTATTCCGTGGTTTCATCTGAAACGTTGAATGTCAAACAACAGCTCGACATGTAGATTTACATACCTTCATTCCACATATGCATGTGTATATGAGACACACACATTCACATAGACAGGCATTCAGTAATGCATATGTGAATCCACACATGCATGCACAAACACACACACGCACACACACCCATACACACACACATAACAGATGTATTAACGTTTTTACTACTAATGTGAATCTTAACAATGTTTACAGTAGAAATCAGTCTGCCGGACAGAAAGACTGAACGCCTGACAGACAGGCGGACTCTCTAGCTGCAGCATCCCAAAGGCCACGGGGTGTTTTCTGCCATATTAATACAGACGGGACAGCTGTTCCAGATGTGTCTCTTGCTGTCTAAATATTTTGTCTTCCATCCAAGACAGAGCAGTGGAGGTAGGTAGAGATAGAGACAGAACACGACAAAGAAAACAACCCCAGAAGAGGCAACAGTTTCCGCCTCAGTCCTTTTGTAGCTCTCAATGCCAAGCTTCAGTCGTCACACATCTCTGTCAGCAAGCAAGTTTTCCCTTTTTCTTAATTATAAAAAAAGGCTGGAGGCCAGATCAAGTGCCCAGTCAGCCCAATCTACAGCAGCCACCTCTTCGCAAAGGTTCAGTGTGTAGGATTTATGGGGATATTTTGGCAAGAGTGGGATATAATAAGAATCGTCGTGTTTTTGTTTCCTTAGAATGAGCCGTTTATGTCAACATAGGGAGAGGTCATAGATGTATTAAAAGACCTAGATGCAGCGTTTGAGGGGCACATGAAGCCAAAAACATTCAACTACCGCATATAAAAATTACCTGAATGATTGGTGCTGCTTCTACATCATCGGGCACACAGAGCAGGTGCAATGGAGAATTTCAGTGGTTGAGCTGGCGGCACAGCGGTATCCTTAGAGCAAGAGGGTTCCTGGTTCGACCCCTTCTGTCCCCGTGTCAGTGTGGGTTTTCTCAAGGTACACCAGCTTCCTCCCACAGTCCAAAGACATGCAGGTTAACTGGTGACTCTAAATTGTCCGTAGGTGTGAATGTGAGTGTGAATGGTTGTCTGTCTCTGTGTGTCAGCCCTGTGATAGTCTGGTGACCTGTCCAGGGTGAACCCCGCCTCTCACCCAATGTCAGCTGGGATAGGCTCCAGCCACCCTGCTACCCCTAACAGAACAAGCAGTTACGGAGAATGAATGAATGAATAATTGTGCTGGTTACTTACGGCTGGCTCTAGATAGGGCCATTTGTATTTTCGTGTCTGCCACCGTAGCTAGCAGCCCCTCCATGAGGAACAAGTCAGAAATACACAGATTTCTTAAATGTGAAACTGCTTTATTCAATGTTTTTAGAAGTTTAAATCACTGTGTCCGTTTGTTTAGAGGTCGAGACCTCTGTGGATAATTCAGCTCCTGGTTAAAACCTCCTGAACATCCAGATCTTAAATTGTCAGAGAATAAAGGTGAGGATAGATTAGCAGGTGCTATGCTAGCGGCCCATCTCTGACATGCCAAAGCCAAAGTAGAAACACTGATTGTTAGCGTAAAACTGCTTTATTCGTTGTTCTTACCGGTTTTAATCACCAGGCCCATTTGTTTTGAGGAGCAAGAGATCTCTGTGGATAATTCAGCTCCCGTTAAAAACCTTATTAACACTGTACACTGAAGGAATTCTAACCAGGAGGAGTTTAAGGTTGTTGCAATCTGCAATCCTCACCACTAGATGCCGCTAAATCCCCCTAAATCTCACACACTGGACCTTTAATAACAGAAAAACTTCACAAGCATAAAGAGAAAAGAATCACCTTTCACAGTAATGACAATCACAGTCAGTGGCCTGAATCTCTTCATGGATTGTACCATAAAATTATGGCAAAAAGCTGATAAAAGCCTGTCATCGCCGTGTGGGAATAGAGAAGCTTCAAAGTTAGATTATTTGAGTAATTATTTGTTGTTTTGAGTGATAACTGCATCCCCAAACCACTGGTGGATGACAAAGATTGGAACGAGAAGGAGAAATGATACGACAGAGGCTGAATCTCCGATGACACTCCCCTTCGCCTGCAGACTAACGAGGACAAAAATTGTACCAGAGGGATGCCAGAGTCTCATCGGCTCCCCTCTCTTCACCTCACCACTCGAATCCTAATGTTGAAAGTGCCAACTATATCACCACACGGACATCTGTAGAGCCTGGTGTCAGGGAGCCAGAGACTGGGACCAGAAATAATGGGTCTCAGGTTCACTTCTCTCGAGTTCCCATGAGAGGAAAAATAGCGAGGATATCACCAATCAAAAAATTCACATTTGCATTCCAGGCAGCCGGCGGGTTTTCTTCTTTTATTCTGTTCAGAAGAAAATCAGCTGATTCCTTATGTTGCAATCACTGGAGCAAAAGTTTGAGGCCTTCCCCGTCAACCAAGGGACATTTCTGGGTGGAATCACTGACAAAAAGACGGACTTACTCCCCTCTTTAAACTACCAAGTCCACCCTCTGCCCTCCCTCTGCCAGATATCTTCAGCAGTTCATGTTTTGTAACAAAACTCTGTGTTCAGAGTCGCTGCCCGGCGAGGCTCCCCCAGACCGGAGGACAGAAACAACATTTTGTGTGTTTGCATGAGGTGTTTCCAAACTGTTGCGTATTTAATCTCATGCTGCGTGTGACTAACTAGCTACTTAAAACGGGAACTGTTTGGTTTGTTGAATGCTCCTCAGCTCTCTTCAAAGAGTCCTAAATGTGAACTTTGTGATTTTTTCTATAAATAACAACAGTCTGAAATGTCTGCCGAGTAAAAGGAGATAAAAATAGCTACTACGATGTAAAACGATGAAATGTAACTTTGAACTTCTAGACGTTTTTTAATCACATGTGGCCGTGTTTACTGTTTTTTCTAGTTGACTACTAATGTATGATGTTGTGTACAAGTGGGACTACTATGTTTTATTTCTTCTAATTGTACAGTGTATTTTGAGACGAGAGAGTATGAGGAGAACGGGGAGGAAAAGGGAATTAGTTGCACTATAGTCTGTAATTCTTTCATTAAGCGCTCTGTCAGGGCTGAAATTCACTTTCACTTCAGCACATAATTAACAATATTAATTTATATCTGAACTGTCAGCCAACACCTCACGTTGCTTTTCAATAAATGAAATGACTGCAGATGAAGTGTCTTTTTGCAAAATTCAAATCAGGAACTAATGCTGTGAAAAGGGTCACATATCCATTATTTAAAAGCTTAATTGAAAAAGATGGTTGTGTCGTTATCAAATTTGAACTGAAAGTGAATTTATGTGTTAATTTATTTGTCTTTAATGGAGTCGATTGAGTCAATATCACCTGGCACGCCTATATGACAGATAGAAGAGAGGATTTCAGATATATAATGTGACCCGTGTGTGTGTGTGTGTGTGTGTCTGCGTGTGTGTGTGCGTGTGAGACTTTGTACCGCAGTACATTGTACCTTTCTATGTCATGGTGAACTGAACAACACTTAACCCAGAACCTGCAAAGCCACAACTCCAACACAAACTAAAGGAAACTGAAGAACTCGTCAAAGATTTTTAATGAACAGCAATAACTACAGTAATAATATATTTTTAAGTAATAATGAAGACAGACTCTACACAGTTTGTTGTTTATCTTCACAGCTGCTTCATGTTTAGACTTTGGAACAATCAATAGAGCTTTTTAAAGTCTGTAGATTTAAGAATTCACATCTGTAGATAAAGAGTTAAACATTTGCAGAAGAGGTCATTATTTTTGTTGGATGGTGTCAGTAAACATTCAGTCCAGCTATCTGTATTAAGAGTTACAAATCTCTCCCAAAATGTAACTACTCCTCTCTGAAGCTTTACAGTCGTCACAAGAGCGTTTAGTTAGTTAATACTGTTATATGGTGCTGAGCAAATATATGTGTAATCAGGAAAGACCTGTGTTGTCCAAATTTTTCACATTTCAAAACAAAATTTGCATTTGATAGGTGAAGTGCAGCAACTTCAACTGTTTCCGTAAGTATAGTTCAGTCAGGGACACTTTAGTCAAAGAAAACTTTATTTCCATTTGCAGTATTATATTAGGTGGTATGGCTCTGTTCTGGGGCCTCTGCCTTTCTGCGGGCCAACTAGGGAAGCCTCTTTTACACACCTATGTGGAAAGCCTAAGGCGTAGCGAGCACACCTCTCTGCCCTTCCATGTGCAAATGAGGAAAGCCTGAGGCAGAGAGAGAGCAAACCTCCCTGCACTTCCATGTGTGCACATGGAAAGCCTAAGGCAGGGAGAGCAGCAGCAAAGACCCCCCAGGAAAAGAACAGAGCAGCATCAATGACAGAAATGACATTGATAAGTCAGACACAGCATGAAAAGGAGGAGCTGGGGTGGAGGCAGGTTGCAAAGCAGCTTGCAGAGGAAGCAGCAACAGTAGGCAGGCCAGAGCAGTTTAAATAGGGCGCCCTAAATGAGATTTGCCAATTGTTTGCATAGAAAGGAGTTGTGATCTATCAGCTGACTCCCTTCCATCAGTCAGCTGCTCCATCAGTTGACTGGGCTGTTTGGGGATCAGCTGATGTAGCTGGGATGTGAGCTGAGCTTGACATTGTGTCCTGACTGAACTAACGCTATGCTCAATGAATAAACAGCAATGACAGTCACAGATTATTCAGTGTAGAGGTCCATGGTATGGGCTGGCATAGGGATGGGTCATGATTTTCGAATAGTCGTTTTATTTTGAAAAATCGATTTTTTAATGCGACTATTACTATTCGCCATCTTATTTCCCCCCTTTATTTGACATGCAATTCAGCTCCTAACCGCACGAGGGCAGTATAGGATTGCTACAGCGGTGTGAGATGGGCTACCAGCTAGGTTGATGCTCTTCTACAAACAGGAGAAACATGCAGAGACTACTACAGTCATCAAAAAGTTCCGTGTGGAACAACTTCGACAAAATAAACGAAAATGAGGTGCAGTGCAAACTCTGTGAGGCAAAGCTTGCGTATCACAAGTCTACAACAAGTATGCACAGTCATTTGAGAGTGAGGCACACAGGAGGTGGCGAGGGACCGTACGGCCGGGCTCAGCGGCGAGACACGTCTGCAGCGCGAGTCCCGTAGCAGCTCGCCCCCGTTAATCAGTTACAGCGGCTCCACCGGCAACAGGAGCAGTGCGACAACCCCCGTCATTCAAAAAATCATCAAATAGTTGCAATGATTTTTGAATAGTGTTTTTGCTTGTGCTGCCCATCCCTAGGCTGGCAGTCTCTAATTACGGTTAAAAATCCTTTATTCACACATGGATAGACCAACATGTTTCCACAGTCTTCATCAGGGTGTTGTTTTCAAAATATGTTTTAATATAAAAAGTTTTTAACACGGTAAAGCCCCTAAAAATTTGGTTTCAAATGTTTCTTATTTCTCTAAAATCTTAAATATGAGTAACTTAATAATCAACAAAGGTAAAGTAAATAATAACAGTTTAACTATCAAAAAGCTCAGTGAATGAGGTTCGTCAGGACTGTGTGGGTGTGGCTCGCCCAGATTTGATTGTTAACATGCACAAAATATGAAATTTTTCACCCTTATTCCGATAAAGACAATATTCCAACTAAACCCTTCTCATAGCTAACGTAAATGAATATTCCTGTTTACATGCAGCCACGTATGCATACTCTGATTAACATAATATTGTGCTTATAATAAGTGCTTTACAGCGCATTAAAACGGATTTACAATAAAAGATAAGAAGAAAAAGATATAAAAGGTAATATTCATTCTAAATTATTTACAAGTTTAATAAAGCTGCAGTGCAGTTAAAATCAATTAAAGTAACTGAATAATAAAAATTGCAGTGCGGTGCAAGAAATGAATAAGTATTTGATTTAATAAAAGGCAGTCGCAAACAGATTAGACTGTAAAGAGCAGAGAAACCGTGTCACAAACTGCACTAAAAAAACCCAATTTACATTTTCCGAATGCTCTGTATACAAAC